GCGAAACGAGAACCACAGCAATATGCAACTATACCTGTCCCTGTCTTGCGTTCTATTTGTTGTTCGTTTTACCTGTCATATCACTCTCTCTCTCTCTCTCTCTCTCTCTCTCTCTCTCTCCTACTATATCTGTCTTTTTTTCGTGCTTTTTTTGCTTGTTGCCATTTTGAATGCTTTTTGATTTGCCTTTGCTTTATATGTCAACTGTTATAATTATCGTATAACAGTTAGTGGTATGTATAATTGCGATTGCTTGCCGCAGTATAGCAACAGCAACATAAAAACGAATATGATTATTATGTACAACAGTTGCTATATATGCCTGTATAACAGTTGTATTGCTAGCAAATAGCTGAGAAATGTAATGTGCCACAAATGATTGTGTATAACAGTTGTGAGACATTCGTATAAATGCTTAATGGAGGACACGGAAAAAGCTGTATATCAAATGTAATGAAATGTACCTATATATGAGTATAACAGTTTTACGCGTTATATGCATAATTGCATAGCTTTGCCGATTGTAAATAAGTATATGCTTTGCAGTCTTAAAATTGTATTGCAAACTGTTCTACTGTCAGTCAGAGTGTATAACAGTTTCATTTTCCTTTTTTCCCCCATGTTAATTTATTTTAATTATGTGTTTTGTGGCTTATTCTGATATTTGTAACTGTTATACGCTGGTGTTTTGTATTAGCTATTGGCTGGCTTTGTAATTTAGCTCCATCCAGATATTAATCAGTGCCACTCTCTTGCTCTCTCTCCCTCGCACAGCAATAAACACAAGCGGCGCATGCGGCGACTGCGGCTCAACGGTGGAGAATTGGATGTGCCTGATCTGCCAGAGCATCGGCTGCGGTCGCTACATCAATGAGCACATGGAGCAGCATTGCCGGCGCGCACAGCATCCGCTGGTGCTGAGCTTCAGCGATTTGTCCGTGTGGTGTTACGAGTGCAACAACTATATCGACCATCCGCTGCTCTATGTCTATCAGAATCTGGCGCACGTGGACAAGTTCAAGGAGCCGATGCCCTGGACGCACAGCTGCCAGCAGCGCACCGACGGCTGCTATCCGATCCATCTGGATGCAGTTGACAGCAACAGGCAGAACAACAACAACAGCAACAACCACGACCATGGAGGCAGTGGCTGCAGCTCCAATGCGAACACCAACAACGATGACGACGACGCTGGCAGTGGCAGCGGCAGCGGCAGCGGCAGTGACGGTGTCAGCTACTACATTCAATTGGAGCGAAATAACTGACATTTGGTGGTGCGTGTGCTGGACGCCATTACGGATTACATGTGCACGCTCTGTCCGCCCCTGCGACACGTCCTGCAGCTGTTCATGGAGCACATGTGGCCGCTGCTGGAGCGCATTTACCTCAAGCTGATCCAATACTTTCTCACCCAATGAGCAGCTCGCATTTTGTAGCCTGTAGTCCGCATCCAGTTCAAAGTACCTTGACTTACGATATATATATATATCATATATATATGTCTACATATGTATACAAATTCGCACCGCTGATGCTGAGAGTCGCCCAGCCCCTGCCCAGCCCACCCCTCGTTCCCAAATATTGTGAATTGGCATTAAATTTGTTGTTATATTCTTTCGGTAGAGGCGGGGTTACGCCCATAGTTTGTTAACCATTCGGCCGACCGTCCACTTCTTACCGCACGTTTGAATATCTATCCTCATGTACTCCAGACACCCCCCCCTCCCCATTCCCCCTATCCAAACTCTCCCATACTCTACCTGACTTATTGCATATAGAGATTGTTGAAAAAAAAAAATTTTATAAATAGGAAAACCAAAAAAAAGTATGAAAGTTAAAAAATAAACAAAAATGTTATCACTAATCATTGATTAATCATGTACGAAATAATAAAACTAGTAAACGACAAGCAATTTTTTGGCACTAACAAAAATGTTTTTTTTTTTTTCTTTCGTAACATTTATGAGTTAGAAGAGTTGAGCAATATATGTATGTAGTTCTCTGTGAGTGGAAGCAGCTAAGAAGCATATGAATCCGTTAATGGTGTTCGATTTGGATTGGAAATATATTATATATATTATATATCATTATTTGTTTATTTATTGACCCAGAAGAATGAATTCAGATTTATTGATGGAATTTGGGAGTGAATCCTTATAGTTTCTGGGTCCGGTCATCTCCTGTGCTTGCTCTTTGCTTTTGTGGGATTGACTTAACAGTCAACATGGTGGTGCCTGCATTTAATAGTAGAGGCGTCTGACGGAGCGGCTAGTGGCCAAGTGAGCGGTGCAAATGGGACACATGTGATTGTAACTAATCACATGGAGGATACAATCCCAGCAAAAGATGTGTCCACAAATAGTTTTTGCGGCCTCGCGGCCTGAAATGTACTCCAAGCACACTGGACACTCGTAGGACTCCTGTATAATCTTGCCGTCCTTGTGGGGACTGCCAACGGCATCGCCTTCTGCGGCCGATGTAGTCGAATCGGCCAATTGAACTACTGTGGCCGAAGTAGTCGAATCGGCCAATTGAACTACTACGCCCGATGTCGGCTCGGCCGGTGCGGCTATTGCGTCTGGTGCAGCCGGTTCAGTCAGCATGTCCGGTGCAGCCATTGGAGCTGGTGCAGCCGGTTCAGCCATTGGAGCTGGTGCAGCCGGTTCAGTCAGCATGTCCAGTGCAGCCATTGGAGCTGGTGCAGCCGGTTCAGCCATTGCAGCTGGTGCAGCCAGTTCAGCCATTGCAGCTGGTGCAGCCGGTTCAGTCAACATGGCCAGTTCACCCTTTGGATCCATTGCGCCCAGTGTAGTTGGCTCGGCTGGTGCAGCCGGTTCAGTCAGCAAGGCCAGTTCAGTAATGGCGGCTGGTGCAGCCGGTGGAGTCGGCATGGCCGGTACGCCTAAAGCGACCGGTGCAGGCGGCGGAATTGGAGCCGACTCTGGCTTAGGAGAAGAAGCGGACTCCTGTTCCTCCATCTCATCATCTACTAAGTCAATTGTAGCCACTGGGGTAGGCGGAACGGGCTCTTGTGTGTCCATCGGTTCGTCATCCACCAAATCTATTGTAGCCACCATTGGATAATCAACCGGCGGCTGGTTGGGCCTACGTATGCGAGCTGCAACGCTGTCCGACAGATCTATAATCACAGTCGGCTCGTTATTGCCGGTAAGATCAAAAATCTCTGGATGCTTATCGAAGCGCTGCGACGGCTTCTTTTTCTTGATACGCAACGATTGCGCTTTTACCTTCTTCAGATCTGCGAAATATGAAAATTCCATTCATAGTAACAAGAACAAATAGATGCCACAAACATCATTAAAAAAGTAATATACAAACTCATTATTTGTCTTGATTCTTTTAAATTGATTAAAACAATTTGGAAATTTACAATATTTGTTCACTGCACAGAAAAGTTTTTGGGTTTTTTTTCCTTCTGGAATTTGTGGCGAACTGTGCGAAGCTTCGCAGACGAATGAAAATTTTCAATGACAGCTCCGGACGTCTCGACTATGGCTGACACAGGATGGCAGCCACTGACAGCCCGGCCAAGTGTTGCAAAGAGCAGCAGACAACTGTCAAGAAACGTACATAGCTGCGCACGTAGCTCCAAAACTGCGCACGTTTTAAACACAGGCTTTTGTTTCGAGAACTATTTGCGCATGCACAGTATCATATCAAGTCATTATTATTACTATTATTAAGTGCGTTGCGCACTTGCCGCTCCTGTGCGAAAGTTCTGTTGTGTTTACTGGCGCGTCCTTCAGTGCCGATCTGCTACTAAACTAACATTGATTGTCGACTGCGGCCGAAGTCAAGCGAATTTTCTGCAAAGAACCGTTATATTTATACTCGCCACTTTTCGAGTCCGTTAAGAGCCGCGCATTGACTATCTGTCTCAGTTCAATCCAAGTTGTGCGTTGGGTAATTTGCGTAAATTCACCACACCGTCGTGTTGCTGTCTCGCTCGTGAAGTAACGGCGCTTTTCGTGTTGCACGTCAGTGTACTATCGTTTCGTGTGTGTGTGTAACGTTCACACACTTAACTGTAAGTGACAGTAACTGTAAGTGACAGTTTTCGTGCTTGTAATTTTTTTTCTTCTTGTGCGGCCAAAATGTCGAGAATGCTGGGTAGACCGAATGCAAAAGAAAGCTTGCTACATAAATGGCAAGTAGAGCTGTGCGAGCCTTGCTTGCAGCCGCTCGATGGCTACATGCATTGCACCCTGTGCAATACGCTGGTAAGTCCATAATAATAATGATAATATTTATATATGTATCCACTTTGAATTTCGCAGATAAGTGCCAATAGGCGTGCGCAGATCGTAGCGCATTTGAATTCTGCTCAGCACTTGGGCACTGATGTAAAACCTCACGAGAAGAAAAAGAGAAAAATTTCGATGACAACAACAACAACAAAAGCAAAATCAACACCAAAAGCAACAGCAACAGCAACGTCGACAACAACAACCGAATCAGAAGCAGCAGCTGCAACTAAGGAAGGAACCGAGGGCCTTACCAATGCGAACGACGAAAACGAAAACGACGACAAAGACAAGGACAAAGAAAACGCTCTCAACGACAGAGCATTTGATCTGGATTTGTGCGCAGCTTTCAAGTCGGCCAAAATTCCGCTTTCGGCATTAAATAATACACAATTCCGCATATTTCTACATAAATATACTAACCGCCCCATACGCGATGAGCAATTCATGCGCTGGCGCTATAATGTTTAAATTTCAATTCAATTGTACGCACAATTCCAATATGAATATTAATGAATGCAAAGCAACCTAATTGAATATTAACGGAGTTTTCTTTCTATTAGCGCGCAGCAAAATGCGCTTACAAAATGGACGCGATTTTGAGCTGATTTACGCGCATCTTTGCGCACAGTTGAAATAATGCGTGCGATAGCGCGTAATATCGAACCGCGCCAACCTTTCAGTTGAGCTTCACATTTAATTGAAATTGTTAGTCGACCTTCATTGGGGTTTTTATTGTTTGTTTTACAAATACGGTTTGAGCTAATTTAGCTCGATTAAATTTAAGTGTGAATGTGTTGTGCGCAACATTTATTTTTAATTTTTCGCACGCTTTGAGTTTGTCTGTTTAGGCGCAGCTTGTTTGCGTTTCGTTGGCGAACCTTTTTTGAGCTTTGCTTGGGACTGCTTCTTTGAAGTTTTTCTTTCTGGCTCGTCCTCGTCCTCGTCCAGCTCGGAGTCCTCATCGTTTTCGTAAGTCTCGTCGCTATCAGATGGCTCGCTCTCGGGGTCGCTCGAAACGTATTCGCTTTCATCGTCTTCATCGTCTTCATTGTTTTCATCGTTTTCATTGTTTTCATTGTCATTCTCGTCATATTCAATGGCGACATAGCTGCGTGGCTTTTGCGACTCCAGTGCCTCAATGCGAGCGGCAAGCCTGGCTGTCTGCTGTTTGCCGATCGACTGAGTTGGCGTACTCTCCTGTGACTTGTCGAACTGCGAGCTATCCAGAAGTGAAAGACAGGTGGGACGACAGTCGATGTTCGTGCATGCGAGCAGTGAGACGCGCTTATTATACACATCGCATTTCCAAGCCTTAATCTCGCCCATGCTATAAGAAACCGCATTGATTTATACAGCATATTGATGAAGAAGAATGAAATACTCACCTGGATATGGTCACCAGGGTGTCATGCATGAAGCCAACCCCCTTAACACGATTGTCGTGCATCTTTATCATCTTGGACTATGGAAAGAGCAAAGATGAATTAGCATATGTGTAAAGCCGCGAGAAGGAATCTAAGAGAATTGAACCTTACCGCAGTGTCTTTTTCTTCACACACGCTTATCCAGGCAATGCAACCATTCTCCAGACCCACCACGCAGCTCTGCTCTTCAAGCCAGGCGACACAGATGGGCTTCGATGCCAGCGAGATTTGCTTCATCACGCTAGCCGTTTGAATACTCCAAATCTCCACTGTGAGTGGGCCTGCGATGGTGAAGAAATTGCCCTCTGGCGACCAGGTTAGGCAATCAGGAGTGTTGCCCAGAGTACGCTTGCTCTTCAGATTAGTTCTGTATGCGATGCGGCCCTTTACCAAGTTCCATGTGTTGAGGACTTGATCGGCACCCAGAGACAGGCACATCCGGCTACTGGGATGGCAGGCGATATGTGTAACTGCTTTCCCATTGTGGGGCCTGGGCCAGTCGCCCTCCGTGGACCAGTTGGCTAGGCGTGTGGCAATCATATGTCCGTCGACTCCACCCGACATTAAATGTGTCGAATCTGACGAGAATACCAGCGTGTTGACAACTCCCTTGTGCGCGTTGAGGACGTGGGCTTGTTTCCGTAGACGCATGTCATAGATGAAGATGCGATCATCGATGCCTCCGGTAGCGATCCAATGCTTGTGCACAGCCAGGGATTTAATCGATCCATCATGAGATCTGTCCGCAAACGTTGGTTTCAATTGTATCTTTTTATCACCGTTTTTGTCGCGGCTCTCGCATAGCTGATAGCCCAATAGATATTCGGTGTAGGTACCAACAATTATTTCAATAGCCGGCACCATGATTTTCAAATATATTTTAATTTATTTTTATATGTCAATATAGCATATTTCGAGTTGAACCGCTTCGGGACTACACGTGCGAAGTCCGACAAAACAAACTTGGACAGCTGACATCCGATAACACTTATCGCGCCTATCGCACAGGGCTACAAATGTCAACATTACATGATTAAAAAAAATATGTGCTATAGTAGAAGCATTTATATATATTTTAATAATAATAATAAGTGTGCACAACGCTTTACACTACGTGCCCAGTCTATGTGCTCTCTGGTTAGTGGTAAAAACATTTAACGAGCGCTTTTGCCGCCCTGGCCCGTTTACGTTAGCCTGCTTGCAGCCCTAGATTGCTTGTTTAGCTTTTCCAGACAAACAATAATTTCAGCAAGTAGGTGTTTCTGATTGTTGTTTAGCATTTAGCATTAATTGATTTTAGCATAAGACTGTTACGATGCTTAAAATAGTGCCTCAAAGAAATTAAATAAGATTTGCAGCCCTGGTATACTGGTGCAGCGCTGGTATGCTGGTGCAGCCCTGACGGGCAAACGATTACAATTGTATATGCGGTATTTAAGGCATAATTTTGTTAATTTAAGAAAGTCGCCGACAAAAGGCCAAATTTACACGTGAATTTCTGATAGAGATCAATTGTAACATTAGCTCTGTCGCAGAGTACTAATTTAGGTTAAGTTAAAGGCCTTAATTCATATAGTGTGTGCCACCGGCGTTTTATAGTATCCAGCTGAAAAAAAAGCGCGTCGATTATCATGTCAAAGAACTCTGGGTAAGTATACAAAATGCGAAATGAAAACATCACTTACTCAAACATCAACAGGCGTGATCGGGATCGGGAGCGCGACCGCGACAGGGAGAGAGACAGAGATAGGGAAAGGGAGCGCGAGCGTGACAAGCATTACGAAAGTCGGAGTGGTCGTGGGGACTACGACAATGGCAAATCGTCACGCAACGGGGCCAGCCTGAGCAGCAGCTCGCGAGGTGGGCGTGAGGATCGTAAGCGGCCGAAGGAGCCGACCAAGGAGAGTGACCGTGGTGTTGGGACGCGTCGCGATGAGAAGCGACGCAAGCGTTCCAGGTCCAAGGACTACGATAAGGACAAGTAAGTATATGCAGCTCTCAGTAGACAAACTTTTCGTAATGCTTTGGCTTGCAGACGGCAGTTGGATCGTGAGCGTGATAAGGATAAGGAGCGAGAGCGTGAGCGGGAGCGTGAAAGGGATAGAGAGCGCGATCGCCAGCGCGAACGGGATAAAGAGCGTGAACGGGAGCGCGACCGTGAGCGAGAGCGGGAACGGGACAAGGAGCGTGAACGAGAGCGTCAACGTGAACTGGACACACGTCGCGCTGCGATGTCGGAAGCTCCGTTGGTCATACCCGTCGGATCGTCCAGTAGCTCCACCGACAATGAGGTGGAGGAAGAGGAGGAGGAGGAGGAGGAGGAGGAAATTGACAAGGAGGAGCAACAGCGCCGCCTTGAGCAGGAGATGATCAAGCGACGCGAACGCATCGAGCGTTGGCGTGCCGAGCGCAAACAGCGCGAGCAGGAGGCGGGAAAACGAGATGTGAAAGCAGTGGTAGCGTCCACAGTCAGTAAATCGGCCAAGAAGTGGAGCCTTGAAGATGAGTCCGAGGAGGACGACAGCAATCCAGCGCCCATCATCGACGTTGATGCGGACAAAAAGGAACCCGACTCGCCGCCATCCAAATTCCACAGCATTCGCAAAAATTTCGACGAAGATCTGGTTGAGTCGAAGTTTGCGCCACTAAAGCGACCCACGTTCAGCAAGGTCCTGATGCTTTCATCTCCAGCTGTATCCGCAGCAACCACAGCTACAACCACAAAGATAACAACACCCACAGTAGAAAAAGCCACACCAACTACAGCAAAAACAGATACTGCAGCCACAGTAGAACCCGTTGCAGCCGATCCCGATGTGGAGCTAGTCAAGGTGGAAGAAAAGCCGGCTGTGGTGAATGCAGCAGCAGATTCACCCAAAACGCCAGTGCAGGTCGAACCGGCTGCGGCAGCTGTGGAGCCCGAGGATGATGTGGACCCACTTGATGCGTACATGCAGGAGGTGAATCGAGAAATGCGCCGGGTCAATCACTTCGTTAGTCCCGCCAAGGCCAAGGGCGTGGTAATCCTAACGGGAGTGGCCAAAAAGAAGACAACGGCGGTTAAGAAGGGCGAACTAATTGAACAGAATATGGACAGCCTGGAGTATTCCAGCGAGGACGAGCTGGAGGATATACGTGACACAGCTGTCAATCTGGCCATGAAGCATCGCAAAGAGCTGGCCAAGATCGATCATTCCTCTGTCAGCTATGCGCCCTTCCGTAAGAATTTCTACGTCGAGGTACCCGAGCTGGCCCGCATGACCAGCTCCGAGGTGGAGAAGTATCGCAGCGATCTCGAGGGCATCCAGGTGAAGGGCAAGGGCTGTCCCAAGCCGATCAAGGTAAGTGGCCATCAATCAATCAATTCATCAGCCAACGTAATGAGCTTTCGACTCCCTCACAGACGTGGGCGCAATGCGGCGTCAGCAAAAAGGAGATGGATGTGCTGCGCAAGCTGGGCTTCGAGAAACCTACGCCCATACAGTGCCAGGCGATACCGGCGATAATGTCTGGGCGGGATCTGATAGGTATTGCTAAAACTGGCAGTGGCAAGACGTTGGCATTCATTTTACCAATGTTTAGGCATATTCTTGACCAGCCGGCGCTCGAGGATGGCGACGGTGCCATTGCGATCATAATGGCACCGACACGCGAGCTCTGCATGCAGATTGGCAAGGATATACGTAAATTTAGCCGTTCGCTTGGATTGCGACCCGTATGCGTGTATGGCGGCACCGGCATCTCCGAACAGATTGCCGAGCTGAAGCGCGGCGCCGAGATAATTGTCTGTACGCCCGGACGCATGATTGATATGCTGGCTGCGAATTCGGGGCGTGTCACCAACTTGCGACGGGTGACCTACGTGGTGCTGGATGAGGCGGATCGAATGTTTGATATGGGCTTTGAGCCGCAGGTGATGCGCATCATCGACAATGTGCGTCCCGATCGACAGACGGTCATGTTTAGTGCCACATTCCCACGGCAAATGGAGGCGCTTGCCCGCCGCATACTGAAGAAGCCCGTCGAGGTGATCGTTGGCGGGCGCTCGGTGGTCTGCAAGGACGTCGAGCAGCATGTCGTCATCCTGAGCGATGAGGCGAAGTTCTTCAAGCTGCTGGAACTGTTGGGGGTCTATCAGGAGACGGGCAGCATCATAGTGTTTGTCGACAAACAGGAGAACGCGGACATTCTGCTGCGCGACCTAATGAAGGCATCCTATCCATGCATGAGCCTGCACGGCGGCATCGATCAGTTTGACCGCGACTCCACCATAATTGACTTTAAGTCTGGCAAGGTGCGCCTGCTGATCGCCACCTCGGTGGCAGCGCGCGGCCTCGATGTCAAGGATCTCATACTGGTTGTCAACTACGATGTGCCCAATCACTACGAGGACTATGTGCACAGGTGAGACTCGAGCAAGACGCCCGTCCAAGAGAGACTACAATTTCCATTATTGCGTAATCTTCCTTTTCAGATGCGGACGCACTGGTCGAGCTGGCAACAAGGGATGCGCCTTTACATTCATCACGCCAGAGCAGTCGCGTTATGCGGGTGATGTGATTCGCGCTCTTGAGCTATCCGGCACGCCCGTGCCACCCGATCTGCAAACTCTGTGGAACGACTATAAGGCAGCACAGGAGGCGGAGGGCAAGACGGTGCATACGGGCGGCGGCTTCAGTGGCAAAGGCTTCAAGTTCGATGAGCAGGAGTTCAATGCGGTGAAAGAGAGCAAGAAGCTGCAGAAGGCGGCGCTCGGCCTGGCCGATTCCGATGATGAGGAGGACATCGAACAGGATATCGATCAGCAAATCGAGCAGATCTTTGCGGCCAAACGCACCGTCAAGGATACCTCGGTGGCCGGCACTGCGCTGGCTGCGGCCACTGCCGTTGCGAGTGCCCTTAGTGCGAGCATCGCTTCGCCCCATGTCGCCGCCCAGCAACAGCTGCAGCAGCAGCAGCAACAACAGCTACAACAACAAATGGCCACGTCAGCGGCCGTGGGCTCCGACAAACTGGAGCTGGCGAAGCGTTTGGCCTCCAAGATAAGCAGCAGTCGCAATTTGGATACGAAGGCGACACAGGTGGCCACCGAATCGATAATGAAGGGTCAGGCGGGCGTCGGTGCCGGGCAGCCAATGCTAACGGCGCGCACCGTGGTCGAACAGCTGGCGGCCAAGCTGAACAACAAGCTCAACTATCAGCCCAAGGAGGATGAGGACGGCCTGTCCGCCCTGATGGGCAGCAGCACGAACTCGTTCACCAAATACGAGGAGGAGCTGGAGATCAATGACTTCCCACAGCAGGCACGCTGGAAGGTTACCTCCAAGGAGGCACTGGCCCAAATCTCCGAGTACTCCGAGGCGGGCCTGACTGTCCGTGGCACCTATGTGCCCCAGGGCAAGAATCCGCCCGAAGGCGAGCGCAAACTTTACTTGGCCATCGAGAGCTGCAGCGAGCTGGCCGTGCAGAAGGCCAAGCGCGAGATAACGCGCCTCATCAAGGAGGAGCTGCTCAAGCTTAGCTCGGCCCATCATGTGTTCAACAAGGGGCGCTACAAAGTGGTCTAGACGTATAACTAATATATATATAGATATATATACATACTTATGTATTTATACAGTACAGAAAACACTCAATGATACGCTGTTCAGAAAAGCCTAATTTACAACAACAAAGAAAACAAAATATCGTTTATCTATTATTTATCTCCTGGCAAATAAGTGTCCTAAAGGAGTACCACAAAAGTGTTACGAGCTCCATGAGACCCTGTTTCACAGTTATTCATCGTGCAATACCTAAGTCACGAAGCAGCTCTGCTCAGATCGATGGGAATTTGAAACATATTTATGGAACACTTGAACTCTAAGCAATGCGACATCCCTAACTTGTATACATAGATTCCGAAATTTTGTTCAATTTATAAGATAAATATTTCAATATTTAGAGAGCTTAACTCGTATTTGTATTTATATTTAAAGCGATTCGAAGATACAATTATGCAAATTGATGTGTGTGTGTCTGTGTGTCTGAAAGCAAATATATTGTACATAACTGAGATCAAAGATTTGGAGAGCAACAACGTCGATTTAGTCATGTTCTCCGTATTTGACGGTTGGGTATGGAATCTAGGCATACAGTAATACTTCCTGGAGGCCAAAAGCTCAAGAATTAAATCCCAAAATAAGTAGAATTTTCGACTCTCGCTCATTTCAAATAAAAAAAAAAACAAAAAACCCAGAAATGCCATCAGTGCTGCTAATTAACGCTAAACTTCATTCACAATTGAGCATTAGCAGAGCTTGATCCTTGCTGGAATTTCGCAGCGCTATAAATCGAACTAGTGCCCTTATTTTCTTTGAGCATCTGCTCCATTTCAGTCGACCTGCTTATGAAGTTCTTCAAATTAGTGTTTTGCTAAAATTTAATAAATGTATATAAGTCAAATTGAAATCGGGCATAGACATAGATATATGTGTGTATGTATATGTCTTAGTCAAATTGAAATTTAGTCAAGGTTCCAGTGCCTATTCCGTAAGCCATAAGCACAATTATTTACATACTGTCAAATCGATAAGACAAGGCGATCGATAGACGCCGATTGGCCTCTCACAACACTAGACGATCGATAGAGCATCGATAGACGCCGCATTTGGCGTTTGCGCTGAAAGTCCTAGCATTAAATTTTATTCAATTTTTATTTCTCAAAGATCTTTCACGTATGCTGTACAAAATTAAAATATTTCATTTTTTTTTTTGCTTTCGGTTTATTATTTTTTTAGATTGTTTTTTTTTTTTTTAATTTTTTTAATGTTTTTTTTTTTTTATTTTTATTTTTTTGTATATTTGAGTTTTAGCTTATTTAGCCGCATTTTATTAACTTATCGCCCGCCGATCGCGCGTCTCAATTGATTTTCATGCTACAATATTTTGTGTCTAGAAACTACTAAAATTAAATTTAAATGTAGTTATGAGTGTTTTTTTTTCTTTCTTTGTATTTTTTTTTTTTGTGTTATCAATTTTTATATTATTACATTTTTTATCATTATGTTCGTAATTGTAATTATTATTATGCGCTTGAAAAAAATTGTTTGTTTTATGCACTAGTTTGTCGGCAATGTCTCATTTTTTTTTGGATTTTTTTTTTTTTCATTTTTAAATTTTAATCATCTTTTCCCATATATTTTTTCTCGATACAAAACTATTTTTTATATTAAAATTATTATTGATGTTTTTCTTTTGCGCCGATTCTTCCCGTCTGTCCGCTTGCTTTATACTAAATACCATAAGAACATATATGTATATATATTTATATATGTATTTAGTATGGTATTTAGTATATGGTATAGATACTATATAGTTATTATTCTCATTTTTGCATATGTACAAGTCTAGTTAAAACTAAGAAGTGTGCTAAACAATAAAAAAAAAAAAACAAAAAAAAATATGTATATATATAATATATTTATTAAAATTCATTATATATATATATGTATATATATATGGCTAGGGTTAGTTTTTTCTTTTAGTTAATATTAATCAATGTTCTTGTTGTTTTCTTTTTTAACTTAACTATTTTTTTTTAATATTTATTTTTTTATTTTTTTTTTGTATTTTCGTTAGTTTAGTTTGGCAACTGCTTAAATTCGTTGCAATATTTTCAGTTGTTGCTAATATTTTCTCATCCTTTTTTTTTTGTGTTTTTTTTTTTTTGCATTTGTTTACTTAAATTTAGGAAAAAAAATTCGCTGTTGCTGTGTGTGTGTGTGTGTGTGTGTGTGTGTATATGTGTTTGTGCTAAGGTTAATTATGTGCCTAATGCAATTTAAATTCATAATTAATGAATAATTAACAAAAACAAATCAATTTTATAACGCACTGAAGGAAGCATCAAGAAATTTTTGCTGCTAGGATATTGTGGATCCGCTTCGGGTTCGGGTTCGGGTTCGCATTCGGGTTCGCGTTCGGGCTTCATTGTGTTTGGATCAAAAGTCTAACTATTGCATCTACTCTTGTTGTTGTTGTTGTTGTTCTTGAAGCTAACAAAGAACGATCTTATCTATGAGAAAGTGAGTTCAGCGGTATTTACAATCGAATCAAGACTCTACAATATATGTATATATATGTATATATATACATAGGCTTATATAACTCTGTGTGTGTATGTGTGTGTGTTTAGTTGAAGTTCATTCAGTTTTTAGCTTAGTTTTAATCTTCTATTATTAATTTCATTTTCATAGAGCGCAATTCTTATTATCGGATCACTTGAAGCAATTTCATGGAGTTTTTTTGGTCGCTTTATGTGTGTGTGTGTGTGAGTGTCTGTGTGTGTGTGTGTGTAGTAACTGTTTGCATCTACATGGGGATATTTGCTTGTTGCCCTGTGTAAATTCTATAATTTTATTTTTGGCATTTAATTAAATTTTGTATTTTCGTTTTTGTTTTTGTTTTTTTGTTTTTTTGTTTTTTGCTTTGTTTTATTTTTAAATCTGAAATACAAATAAATTTCAAAATGAATTGATTAGTAGGGCGCATCAAAGGGCAAAGGGCATTAACTTAATTGTTCAGTTCAGAGATAAAAACAGCGCTAAAGAGTGGAAAACCAAAAGCTAACGCGATAAATGCGGCTACAACAAGTCCAAGAGGGGGCGGGGCGTGACGAGGCGTATACGCAATAAACAAGGTGAGAGCATGTGTGTGCAATAGCCGAACAGGGGATGCTCTACACTGGGCAGGTATATCAGTATATATCAGGGCAAAGAAATTACGATTTCGACATGAAGAAGGATGTTATGTAGATGTTGTTGTAGACCAATATAACTAATAGACTAATAGGGCATACAGTTTGTTATACTTGGTATCTAGGTCGGATCACTATATTAAATATATATGTTATGGGAAATATCGTGGACAAATGCAGATCCTTAATATTTGTAGCCTCTAATATCATTATCTTGATATGAATTGCTTTTTCACTGTGGTAAACTTTTACTGCCTCTTTTTCTCTCACTTTTCCAACTTCTCCCTCATGTCCTCCACCCTTATCTTTCTCTCTCTCTTTCGCAGCATTACAGACAGTCGGGGCTTAAATGATCATTACAAAGTATTGCGTGCATTGTTGTAGATTAGACGGGCTTACGGGGTAGCTACCAGTCGAATATACCCAACAAGTGCTGTCTGTCCAAGCTGTATGTACGTATGTATCATACTCTGTTCCCAAAGGTAAGAAAGGGCAGGTTAGTTGCTTATATTCTTAGCATAGAGTCTACGGTGTCTCATGAATCTATGAAATTTGAATAAACAATAACAAATTTGAATTAGAATCTTAAGAGCGAAAAAATATTTATACAAAAAAAAAAAAATAAAATAAATAAAATAAAAATAAAAATAAATATAAATATAAACTTAACAAAATTAGAAAATTCAATTAAGAGGCAAAATCTTAAAAGCAAAAAAAAATTTATAAAAAAAAAAAATAAAATAAAATAAAATAAATAAATAAAATAAAAATAAAAATAAAAATAAAAATAAAAATAAATATAAATATAAACTTAACTAAATTAAAAAATTCAATTAAGAGGCAAAAAATAAAATAATTAAAGTCCATGAGATGTAAATGAAAATGTTTAAATGAAAAATTTGCACAATTTTTTGTAGATTAAAAAAATTGCTTAAAAAAAAAAAATAATAAAAATATATATTGAAGTTTTAAAAATTTTAATACAAAATTTAGAAGATAAAAATAAAAACTATGTACATGTAGTAATAATTAAAATTTTACTAGCATTTAAAAAAAAAGAATATTTCAAAAATGACTACCAAAATAATATTGAAATTTTTTTTTATTAAATAAAAACAAAATACAAAATATTAATATAATTGAACAAATACAATTTTGAAAAATTCAAAGAAATATAATATACAATTTAATTGACAAAATTTATGGAATTGTAAAATCATAAATTGAATAGCTGAAAAAAAAAATTGTATCTATGAGTCAAGTCAATGAGAATAGAGTATTAAGCGATCGGCCTATGCCGAGAGCAGAGGTTTTTTTTTTTTAATTTAATTTTGTTTTTTTTTTTTGTTTTGTTACCCACCTTTTTCTCCTATACAATTCAATAAATTATTGCATTTGATATGTTGGTCCATTGTTTCATTATTCGTTCCTAAAAAATTCTTGGTAGTTCTTCTTCTTTTTTTTACATTTTTTTTTTTCGTTTTGATTAAATTTTATCGCATTCAGCTGTGTTCGTGTGGCTGTGTGGCTGTGTGTGTGTGTGTGTGTGTGTGGACTGTAAAATGAAAGTAAAATAAAGTTATTGTTGTTGTTGGTTGTTGCTGTAGTTGTAGTTGTTGTTGTTGTTGTTTTTGTCGGCCAAACGTCATCCAATTGAATCGATTCCTAATCCTAATCCGAATCGGCATCCGTATCCGAATTACTAAAGATAATAGTCGCCCGTTATGGGTAGCGTAGTAGTTGTTGTTGGAGAAGTAGAAGTAGTAGTAGAAGAAGAAGAAGAAGAAGAAGTAGAAGAAGTAGTCGAAGATGATGAAGATATCGCTGTTGCTGCTGTCGCTGTTGCTGCTGTCGCTGCTGCTGCTGATGTTGCTGCTGATGTTGCTGTTGCTGTTGCTGTTGCTGCTGCCGTCGTAAATGACTATCAGTATCCGAATCCCGCTGAGCCGTGTCCCGTCATTGATGGTGTTACACTACTAACTATACCTAATTGTGTGGCTGTATTATTTGATTGTCAGTGTTGTTGAGCGGCAAATTTCATACGTTTTTGTTTTTGGCGTTGATTGCAGAACCAGACGCGCACCACGTTTTTCTTCAAATCCAGCTTTTCGGCAATGGCAGCGATTTTCTCACCGGACGGCCTCGGCTGGACGGCGAAGTAGGCTTCCAGGGAACGCTTTTCAGGTGCCGCAATGGAAGTCCTTTTTCTTGAAAAAAGACTCGATATAGATTACTTTAGAAATGGGCCCTAACTTTGGAATATATATGACTGAGCTACAGAGTTTCATGTTGTTTTTCGTTGTTTTTTTCAGATTTTGATGGGAAATTTCATAAATTTTTTTCTCATTTGATTTAATTTTGATTGCCTTGGGTTTTTTTTTTATAATTTTTTTCTGGTTGCCAAATTAAATGCGCTGCCAATTCTGTGGTGGTTGCAAAGGTGTGTGCTGTGTGTGTGTGTGTGTGTGTGAATGGATGTGTGTGTGTGTGTGAGTGGGTGGGTGGGTGGTTGGTGGGGTGGTGTATATGGCTGTGGCACTGGGTACTATTACCGTTGGTAATCAAAACACTTTCTACCTTTTCTTTTCGCCCGCCGGCAGCACGCTGGGCGCATCCGGATCCCGCCGCTTGTTTTTCGCCTGCGCCTCTGCCTCCTCCAGCCACGCCTGCAATATGGGCTTGAGGGCGATCATATTGTTGTGGGACAGCGTCAGGCTCTCGAAGCGGCAGATTGTGCTCTGCGACAGCGCGCCGACACCAGGTAACTTGAGATTGGCCAACGCCTTGCCCACATCCGCCTGTGTGACACCTGTGCAGAGATAAGCAAGCCAAACACTTTACAACACTGTTTTCGTAGTGATAGTATCTATGTATCTATGTATCTATATATCTATTTAACTATTTAACTATGTATCTATGTATCTATGTATATATGTATCTATGTATCTATGTATCTATGTA